TGACAGAAAGGAGTCCAAATTCATTATTAAATACTTGATACGTTACAAAATTGGTATTTAATAGGAATGATTGTATAACGGCTTATTTAATGTCATTTATTACTCATGATTATATCATTAAAGCTGAGGCTTCATTCCTTTACCTAGAATTATCTATAAAAGGAAGAAGTATCATCATTTGTAAGGACACGGAATACTATTGAGAATTTATTGAAATACACATCTATTTGCTTTTTTACCATCGTTCTCAAAAGTATTTTATTTTTGTCTCCTGATTATCAGTAACCCGAATTTCTTTTTAGCTTTGACCAAAGACTCAGATTTTTGGTTAAACAATTATGCATGATGGGAGGCAATATTGTATCATTGAAGAAGAACAGCAATTTGTATGTAAACGGGGGTACCTTATCATGGGATCACAAATCCTGCTGAAATGGCTTGTCTAGTTATTTCGCCCCTCAAACCAAGCAAACCACAGATAATAGATAGCACAGAAGTTTGCCAAATTGAAAAAAAAAAACATTTCCTAGTGTGCAAATATTATAGACTGAAAAGCTGGAAGCTTTTGAAGGCCGGGCTAAGAACTGCGAAGGCAAGAACATTAGTTGCAAGAGATTCCAACACTATGTGAGCTTATCTTCAGCTGCTTTTTGAAGCTAGTACCTTTTTTATCAGCTAGACGATTTTCTACAATGATATCATATTACAGCTGTTGCACCTGCTCTTCCAGGTTTTCCCAAAGAGCTCCTGTCTTTTTAATCTTAATGAGGTTGCCACAGGACATTGGTATATATACACCACGAAGGCTTAAGCTCGAGCCTAACCAGTTGCATTCCTTAGCTGATTGAATGATTTGAAAGACTGATATTTTCAGATTGATTTGCCTTTGCCAGAAGAGGAAAGCAGCTCTTTCTTGCCATATCACCTTAATTGCATATACAAAAGGACTTCCCCATGGGATGGACAATCTTCTCTTGATGATCATTTGCCAAATATTGAAGTAGCATAATTCCCCAATATCATCTCAAAGATGAAGCTCCAATCTCCATTTGGTAGGCGCCGTTCCCTAACTCTATTTTAAGCAGGTGCTAATTACAGATGGACATTTATCACTCTTTCCATGAGACATCAGTGAAAGGAGAGAATTAAGCAGCAACATGGTCCAAATAACTTAGATCAAGATCAACCATAATTGTCTCTGTTTTTGGAGCATCTTCCTGCTTCAACGGAAATTTGATCCGTTTTAACTACAGTAAATTTTCCCTGGCATTGCACATCTAGCACAGGGATAAGACAGTAACAGATTAACTATTAAGAAGTTGAGGACTAAATAACTTGCTGAACTTTTTCCTGAAATATTGGAGATATCCAAAGACTAAATCTGTATTTGAAGTACAGCTTCATTATAACAGACTACAGAACTATGCTTGTTCTCAACTCATCATTATCTAAAACGTATTTTCCACTAAGCTAGGTATATTATGCACAACATTGACAATGAGAAGTGTTCTTCAGTATCATGTACTAACTTGTTGATTTGGGCAGGATATTGGAGAGAAGAACGTACAACAAATCTCACCTTTATTTCAAGTGCCGTTGCTGCTTTGTGAGAGATTGATCTCAGAACTCATACTCATCATGGCAGTTTGTGCCATTACATAATAGTTTTCTGGGGAAAATATTTACAAGTGTTGATTTACTGCATCAATCTCAGATATCTGGTCCGATATAAGATGACTCATCTCTGTTCATGAAACTAATCATTCATCACAAAAACCCACTGGAACAGGACGGAGTAATTTAAGATGCTGACTTAATCCGTCTATCATATGATAAATCTTGTCTGATTTGACATGAGATTTGTCCATCACTGTGAACTCATGGTATTCATCATTCAATGCTAATAAGCTAGCACCAGATTGCTTTGGCCTGCCAATGCTCTTCATCATCAACCTTATGTTAGCAACATTATTCCAGTCTCCTGCCACAGCATAAATATTTGACAGTGCAGAAAGTTTTCCAGCATTTGCCGGCTCTAATTTAACTAGGAGGTTAAGCACGTCATCTGCAAGTTCAACAGCTTTATGCATCCTGCAAGCCCCTAAAAGGGAACCCCAAATTTTAATGTTCGGTTCAAGTGGCATTTTTCGTGCAAGATCAAAAGCTTCTTTAATATAGCCACCACGACCTAAAAGATCAATAAGACAACCATAATGTTCTATTTCAGGTATTACCCCATAATCTTTCTCCATAGAATAGAAATAAATTATTCCCTCATCCACCAAACCAGTATGATTGCACGCACACAAGATACCAACTAATGTCACTTTATCAGGCACAAATCCTTCTTGCTTCATCCTAAAGAAAAGCTCAAGTGCCTTCTTTCCACGTCCATGCATAGCCAACCCATGTATCATCGCATTCCAAGAAACCAAATCTCTCTTTTTCAGCCCATTAAAGACATTATAAGCCTTATGCAAGCAACCGCACTTGGCATACATATCAATCAAGGCATTACAAACCAGAGTACTAAACTTGTACGTACTCCTCTCGACGGAATCATGCACTCTTTTACCCAAACTAAGCATGCCCGATTCTGCACAGGCAGCTAGAATGCTAACAATAGCCGCAACATCAAGCTTCAAACCTGCCTCCTCCATTCGCATATACAACCCAATTGCCTCCTTTACAAGGCCTTTTTCAGCATATCCTGATACCATTATTGTCCACGAGACAAGATTTTTGGAAGGCATCTTATCAAACAACATCCGAGCCATCTCCAAATCCCCCACTTTACAATAACCCGAGACCATCGTGGACCAAGAGACAACATCCCTCAACGGCATCTTTTTAAACAATTCAAACGCCACAATCATTTCCCCAGCCTTAGTATATCCATCTAACATAGTATTCCAACTAACCCTGTCTCTTTGAGGCATTTCATCGAACAGCTTTCGCGCTTCGCTCAAATCACCCACTTTCAACAACGCACTAATCATAGAATTCCAAGAAACAACATCTCTCTCCTTCATACCTCGAAACAACTGACCTGCAGTTCGTACACCAACTATCCCACACTTAGAATATGCATCAATCAAAGAGTTAGGCACATAAATATCATCCTCAAACCCCCATTTCACAACATGAGCATGAATCATACTCACAACACTCAACCAACACTTCCCCGAACAGCCCTTTAACAGAAACGAAAAGGTAAAATTATCAGGAAAAATACCAGCACACTGCATATCAACGAAAGTAGCAAAAGCTTGAGATGAGTTAAAGTTGTGAATATGAGCTCTGATTAAAGCATTGTACAAATGCACATTAGGGTAAGGTACTTGACTAAAGACTTTTAAAGCAGAACCCATTTGGCGACAAAGAGAAAAAGCTGTAATTAGTTTGGGAGCAATGAAAGGGTCTTGTTGAAGATTGGATTTGTATACAATTGCTTGCATTTGCTTCAGTTGGTTAATGTCTCTGCATTTGTCTAAATCCCATAATTTCTGCTCGAAATGTCTTCGCCTTGAGACCCAAGTAGGAGCTCGGATTGGTGTTGGCATCTGCATCTTACAAATGGGAAAAAGTGTTTGAAATACGAGTTTGGATCTTTAGCTCTTTGATGGAGAGTTTGTAGAATTTTTGCCGACCTTTAAAGCCTCATTCATCCAAAGACCTGCGCCAGTCGGATAAGGTTTTATTATCCGTTAATACTAATCATTCGCTGTGTCTGCTTCCGGTAAAAATAGCACGCTAGCCAGTTTTTGGACTGGTCATTAAAAAATAATCAGCTTTTATAAAGTCATTGAAAAATAGTCAATATTTTACTGCAACACAGAAAGTTCCAGCATAATATACTGGAGATCGGTGCACTTGTATATGTACTTCCAACATATTATGCTAGAATTCCAACATGCGGATAGTTCCAATATAATCGGTACTTCAATCTCCAGTATATTATGTTGGACCGATATATTATACTAGAACTCTAGTACTGGAGTATTTTTACGAATTTTGAACAATGTTTTCGTTCAAATTTATCTTTACATGAAAAGTGACTAAATTTCGATTACTTTTGAAACTGTGGCTATTTTCGAATGACCACTTATAAAGGGATCTTTACATAAATAGCCGGCCATATTCATTATTTACTTTTTATAATCATATACATAGATTGTACAATAAATATACACATTATATACATACAATATACAAATTATACATATATTATACATCCACCAACTATTTTTAATTTAAGCGGTTGGGTGGGAGACTATTTGGGTTAGCACGGGCCCAACGTAGTGCTTGTGATGTAATAGCTTATAAGGAAATTCAAATTAATGCGAACTAAAGCTAACTCAAATGGACCTACAGAGATTAGTGTTCCCCTTTTTTATTTTATTATTTTTATTAAAGGTGAGCATTTTCAAGTCTGTAGTTAAGTTTTGAATAGAGATAGTACATCTATATTTTACAAGATAAGGTTTAGTACCTATAAATTGAGCATTGGAGTAAACATAATAAACAATATCGTATCCAAGCGATTAGTTCGCATAAACAATGTTCTTTAAAAAAACAAATTCCTTTCAGATGCCTTTTCACCTTCTAGGCTCTATCGGGCAAAGGACATTCCTACGACCATCGGGTATGACAGGTTTTGAGACAACACTATCAAGATGGACTAATTTTCCTTTCAGCTCTATTTGCATGGAGCCAACTCATCTTGCACATCCAACTAAAAGATATATATATATATATATATATATATATATATNAGAAAATTTAGGAAGAAGGGGTGGAAAAAAAGAGGAAAAACTAGATAGAGAGAAGAAACAAAGAGGGGGCGGAAAGAGTAGTATACACTCGATATACACTCTGGATACATAGAATATACAGGGACAGGATTCATTTTGGAGAGAGTAAAAAAGATATAACCAAATTTTCTGAAATATTGAGAGCGGAAGAACAC